GCGCGGGCGTGGGAGCCAGCAGCTGGAGGAGGCGCACTGGGCGCTGTAGGGCAGGTGTGGGCGTCCTGGCCCCTTCCGGTCGAGAGAGGAGCCGGGCCCTGGGCTGAGTCAGGAGGCGCTGTCACCGAGCGTGCCGGGAGCAGCCGGGAAAAGAAACCGAGGCGAACACCCTTGACCCGGATTCAGAAAGGCCGGCAAACAGGAAGTGAATGACGTAGGTCCCCTCCGGAAAGGCGCTCCCCTCCGCCCCTCCGCCGGCCCCCACTGCCTTCACCCCGGAGCGCCGACTCCCTCCAGTCCCGCCCCTTCGCCGTCGCGCAGGCGCCGCGCCTCGGGTCGACTCTGGCTGCGACGCTCGCGTCACTGGAGGGCGAGTGTCGAGTCACAGGCGGGGGGCTCTGGGCGGAGCGGTCCCGGCGGGACGCCAGGCAGGTGGCCGCGACCCTACGCTTCACGCCCAGTGGTCCCTGGGGGATCTGTCTGGGTCAGGTTACTCGTAAACACCCGAGAAAATACATGAAATCCTATGAGTAAGAAAGTTCTAGAAACGTCAGGAGAAAAGCGTTTGGAGAAAAAGTAAAGAAAACTCAACAGTTCGGATTGAGGAAGCGTCATTAATGGCCCGGCTTGTTTTAGAAAAGCGCTAGACCGCCTCGATGCGACTGGTTATTAAAGGAAGACTGGTACCGACGGCGGCCTCGTTTAAATCAGGCCTCTAGCAAATGTGCAGAGTGAGCTTTTGTGTTACATCGAACATTTATAAGCTGTTTAAAAATGAGAAGAAGGTAAGGAAAATGGCAGGTGAGAAAGTGAATATATGCCTGAGTCTTATAAAAGAGTACGTGGATATGGAACACTGGGGGAAAATACCACAAAATTTAATGTATGTTTATGTTAGCGTTGAAGATGGCTTACAGTGAAGAACAGATACAGTCATCATGCTTGGACTCTTTCAAATTAAAATCTAAAGAGTCAAAACAGTAATTTAAACTCTACTCAGAGGCTTTTACATGGGAAAATACTGCATAACTATCGCCACTTCAGGTGTGGTTAATGTACAGTAGTTGTGAAATCCCACATTAATAGCCTGTAATACAGACAATACTTTACCCACAAAATTCATTAAAATGACCAGTAGAAAAAATGAACAGAATTGTTCATTGTTTCAGTTTACTAAAAATATTCAGTTTACTAACTATATAGATTTTTTTAACCAGGTTACTAACATTTCTACAGCAATACAGCATAGTTTAGGGTAGTCTTAATAGCAGCTTAAAATAAAATAGGAATTTGGTAAAGGAAAACAGAGACCAAATTGATTTTCAGGAAGAGATCAAAGATTAAGTTGAAGTGAACTGAATGATGGATCTAAGAGACATCTGTGCCAGAGGACAGAAATGGCTCTGAAACTTTCCTTTTTCAAATAGGTAAAAGATAAGGCTACAGATGATAGTTTGACTTGGATAGTGCCAAGTGGAAGACAATATGGAAAGTGAAATATCAAGGATTCTGTCATTGGGAGAATGAAGACTTGGAATTAGCCTTTGTCCTGGTGAACCAATAATGATGGTTGAACAATAGTGAAGTGATCACAAAAGCAGAGGGGAAAAAAAAGTTACTTCAAAATTTGACAGATTGAGGCCAGCAGGTGGCAGAGTGGTTAAGGTGTTGGATTCCCCGTAATTGACCACACTTCACGTTCCAGATCTGGAATCTTGAAAATCATACTGGGTGTATGTGTGTGTGTGCCCAAAATCCTGAGATGAAAATGGAGGAAAAAGCTTTGCCATGTGGACAAACCCCCTGAGGGATGATTTCTCATTTTACTTTTCTGTCTCTTCTCTCTCTAGCAAGTGTATATGCCCTAGAGCAAAAACCTAAAACAAAAAAACCCAACCACTCTTCATTTCCCCTCTTCTGCTAATGTCTTGAAAAATCAAATGTAGGGAACCAGCAGTTAGCATAATGGCTATGTTGCTGGACTCACAAGTAGTTGACCACGGTTCGCGTCCCGGACCCAGTGGCTTAAAACTCACGCTGGGCACGTGTGTGTGTGTCCAAGAGGAGAATGGAGGAGAAGGGATTGCAGGGTGAGCACACACCCTGGGCGGTGATTTCTTGCTTTCTGTCTCTATGTCTCTGTCTGTCTGGCGAGCGCACACGCCCTATAGCGAAAAAAAAAAAAAAAAACCTCTCCAAAAAAAAGAAAAAAGAAAAATCAAATGTAATATAAGATGCCTGAGAGAGCACAATACAATTTTTAGTCAATATATGAGGGGACTTCAACAAGTTCATGGAAAAAAAATTGATGTACATATTTATTTTGGTACTGAAGTTTGAAATCCATGTATAGTCTTTTTCATACTATGCATTTCCCATGAACTTTTTTGAGGGCCTCTTGTAGAACATTGCATACTTTTTAAATGTTTTTTTATTTTTTTATTTTTTTTAACCAGTGGCAAAAGAAACATGTTTGGAATACTATGGTATGAAATCCATGTATTTCACTCATCTGGCACTTAAGTACTTTAAAGATTCAGAGTCACGGTGCTTTTGGAAGCCTGGTAGTGTGAAATTACGTTACATAGGACAGATCTTCAAAAAGTTCATGAAAGGGGCCAGCAGGTGGTGTGGTGGTTGGAATGCTAGAGTCGCACATGTCTGACCTTGATTTGAGTCCTGGACTTGTAAGTTTGCTTTCACACTTTCCCTCTCTCTGTCTCTCTCTGGTCTAAATAAATAAAAATAAGTAAGTAAGTAAATAAATAAATTTAATTATTTTAAAAGTAGTTCATGAAAAACCTGTAGTATGAAAAAACTTACTGGACTTCAAATTTTTTTGTACCAAAATAAACTCATACTTTAATTCCATTTTTTCCATAAATGTTTTGAAGTACCGTCTTATGGTTATAAGATTTCAATTGAAAGTAGTCAACCTTAAGTAATTTATAATATAACCAGAAGTTACATAAACAGCACCATGATCCTGTTCAATATTTTAAAATATTTTCAAAAAATCCATGAGAGGGTTTTTGTTTTACAGTGTATCATGCCATTAATCCTTAGATTAGTGATATTGCTGATATGGACTTTGCAATTTTGTATAAAGATTTAGTGTAAGGTTACAATTGCCAGTTGAATGGTTTTTATAAATGTCTTAGTTCCGAGAATGGGAGCTAAGTGCTGAGGATAAAAGAGAAAAGGCATATGATAGGGAATCATTATTTATTGAGCCCGATGTGTTTGGTACTCATTGTATGATACTTAATTCTCAAAACAGACTTTTGGAAGTAGATGCTGGACTCCCACATAGCTGATCATGGTTCAGGTCCTAGACCCAGCAACTTGAAAATTGAACTGGATGCATGTATGCACATGTCCTACATCCTGAGAGAAATATGAAGGAGAAGGATTATGGTGTGACCATTACCTCTGGGGCTGTGATTTCTTACTTTCTCTCTCTCTCTTCCTCCGTATATGCATACCTTATGACAAAAACCTTAAAAAAGAGAGATGTTAATAACTACATTTTATAAATAAGGTACTGAGCCATAGAAATTAAGTAAATAGCCCAAGTCTGACTCCAGAGGCTTTATTATTTCCATCATGATTAGATGAGAAGTGTGTGTGTGTGTGTGTGTGTGTGTGTGTGTGTGTTTATCTGATGAATGAAGAGTACAGTTCCAAAAGCAGCTGTTAAAGTGAACTAACTAGCAGCTTTATTATGAGGTTAACGTTCCATAGGAAATTTATATCACCTTATAGAATCAGAGGAAAACAAACATCACATAGATTAGGAAGAGCTATGATGAATAAATCATCATATGAAGTAATTACAAATAATCCTGACTATGCAGTTTTATGTGTTTATGTACATTTTTTTCAATTATAAAGGAAAAAAAACCGGAAAGAAATATAGCACACACTTGGATATAGTGGTATTTTCTTTTTTAATGGTGAAAAAATGTATATTTGGAATTAGCCAGCTAGGGGACCAGCAGATGGTGTAAGGGTTGTGTTTCTGGACTCCCATGTAGTTGACCGTGGTTTGAGTCCTGGACCTGGTGACTTAAAACTCATGCTGGGTGTGTGTGTATGTGTGCCCCCGATCCCAAGAGAAGAATGGAGAAGGCATTATGGTGTGGCCATCCCCCTGGGGGGTGATTTCTTGCTTTCTGTCCCTCTTTCTGCAAGTGCCCATGCCCTATAGCAACTCTCTCTTTAAAAAAAATAAAAAAAAAAGAATTAGCCAGCTAGACTCAGTTTAGGTGATCCCAATTTTGTTGCCAACATCTGAAGCAGCATAATAGGAGTCACACATATACCTACTCTTCATCAGACTTGATCAGAGTGCTAACCTTGGTCACATCAATATCATAGAGCTTTTTCACAGCCTGTTTGATTTGGTGCTTATTTGCCTTGGTATCCACAATGAGTGCAAGTGTATTGTCCTCTACATTTATCATGGCAGACTGGGTGGTCAGGGAGAACTTGATGACATAGTGGTCAAGCTTGTTTCTCCTGGATGCACTCTTCCAAGAATATTTGAATTGCCTTTGGAGCTCCAGTGTCTTGTCTTAGGCCACCAGAAGGAATGTGACATTTTGTGGCTGCTGATGCCTTTCAGCACTGCCTTCTTGGCCTTCAAAGCCTTTGCTTTGGCTTCAGATTTGGGAGGAGCAGGAGCTTTCTTGTTGGCTCTCGGTGCCATCATGGTGGAAAGGAGATAGTGAGATTTTTTTTAGGATTATTTTATTATTATTTTTAATTTGCTGTAGAGCATGTACAATGGAAAGAGAGAGAGAGAGAAAATGAGAAA